GACTCCCGTTGAGAATGGCTGGGCTAGACTATCTAGCTTGTGAACGACTGGCACGAACCAGTAAGCATTTCATCAAAGTTGACTGATGTGATGCTTCGCGGTTGTCAAGCTGAAGCGGCTCAACATCTGAGGATTGTGATAATCTACGATGGATCACTCCATACGGGAGTCCATGACAATATCTGATGGAGACGGGGAAATGGAACAACTGATGAATGCCCATTGTTGTTCGGAAGACGATCGGTACTTTCTGGTAGACATCTATCCGAGTCCAGAGCGAGCAGAATATTCACACATTTCGTGAGAAGTCGTTTCAGGCCACGGATGTTGAACAAAACGAGCCAATCGATTGCGTTGAGTGCGCTCTTAAGGCCGAGCAACACGATCATATGTGGTACGTATTCGCAGTTCCGATCGCGGGCAGACCCGGAAGCCCACACCACAAACAGTATGCACAGCTTTTGATTGTTAATTACACTGTGCAACAAAAGATTACTTTCTATAACAGAAATACTAACGTCCATACCTTATAGAATACACTCCACTGATCGTATTCCACTGATGTATTCCGATGTTACCTAACATGTCAGGTTACATTGTTATAAGCAAATGATTATTTTCAGTCATGTCATAACTACTTCATACGAATTATATGTAAATATACTGAATCACAGTATATACAGAATGCACCTATGTGGTAAACACGTCTAAGACATCACTGCAACACTCGCCGCCAACTACTGACTGCAGCTTGGCACTGAGAAATGATGACCTCGCCGAGATCGTCGCTTGTATGATCCAGCGCCCTCACGCAGAGAAAGTCGCCCATCATAGAAGGTGTGTACTTGCCACTGTAGCGATGCTCTATGACTGAAAGATTTTATTTAAAGCGCTCACCATGCTCATCGCTAACAGATCCCAAGTTCTCAGGGAAAAGGTCAAGGTGATTATGCAAAAGTGCATCTTGGGTGACATTTGAGCACCAACAGCCCCATAGTCCGCAATGAGCTTTTCGTGGTCTTTATAGTTCTCTGCCTTTGTTCTGCTCAAAAATCCTGTGCACACTGTCTTGAATGATCGCCACGCTTCTTACTCAAACGAAGTCAACTGGCATTCGGAAGCACTGTCTGTCATTATCCGGCTAATCTCAGACCCAGTGAGTGTCACTACTTTGCGGTTCACATAATTAATCTTCGGAAACACTTATTTCAGGTACTGGAGGGCAAAACAATCTCGCTTGAAGCCTTTGGCAAAGTTTTAAACTAAGCTTGATGCGCAGGGGTGATAGATATGATCAGGTTGTACAAGAGGTATATGCTTCACACTCATTTTCCTTGCAGCATACTCCGTCTTCTCTGGTCATTTTTCGGCTGGGTACTGCTGTAGAGTTGCTCTACTGCCCCATAAGCACAAGAAACAGCAATATTTTGTGAATCTTCTTTGCCTACCCATTAGGAGTTCATTGACTTTGAAGTTAGCCCAGATGTTCCAACGGTAATTATCATAGTTCGCTGCAGTGGGTATCTGTCGCATACCTACGTAAGTCTCTTTCCTATGGATGGCACGCAACAGAAACACGGTTTGGTACACATTTCCATTGTGCAGCAGTGTGGACTTAAGACTACTGTTGGACGAGTCAATGAACAAACGCCATTCATCACTGATATGCCTCACGCCAAGCTCCTTCATCAGTCCTTCCACGTCGGAACAGTCATAGAAACCGGACCATCTAACACTTCACTTTCTGTATACAGTAATCTTGGTGTTTACAGCAAGTAAGTGCCACTGCTTCAGCCGTAATGCCAACAACTCGACTTTGTCTTTAGGCAAGCCCAGGTCGCATACCAACTCATTCAGCTGTGATCGCTCAATAAGATGTGGGTTGACAACATCAGCTTCGAACTTTTCACAGATGTCAGAATCAGGGCCAGTTGATGATGCCGAATCACTACTCATCATGACTAGGATGGGTAAGGTGTAATCATAAGGAACATGTCGAATATATGATGTAAGATCGGGCCAATGAATTTTGTTCTTGTTTCGGTTGGAGATTCCAATGACAATGGTTTGGCAAAGTCGCAGTCTGTTGTGTGATCCTTCGGCTGCCACCACACCATGAGGATTGCAAAGGGCATCTCGCCTTTGCCCTTGAGTCAATGAGTCAGATGAAGATTACAAAACACAAATAATATGCGGCGCCAGATTCTTATCCTGATCTCCCAGTTTTATCCTGAAATATGCGTGGTAAGCAGACGTCAGTAGTGAAGAGATGGGTCTGCACTACGACTTGGTAGTAAACTGTCCACAGACGTGACAAAAATGATTTCGCCACTTGACTCAGCGGCGTCTTTCACTCATGATCAAGTTATCAATTAAGGAAAAAACAGCTCTCATTCGACTTTCAGTATCAAGTGAATACCATGATCAAGAGAACTTCTTTTCCACGATTACATGGAGGCAATGGACCACAGCCAAGCACTTGATGTATAGAACGCACTGCTTAGCTGAATTGGAAAACTGAAATTAAACAAAAACCCGACGTGATAGAAACATCTGGTTCGTATATTCGTAATCAGCTGACTTGGTGCTACTATCTCATTTCTGTTATAAAAATGATGTTGCACAGTGTTATTGACGTTTGGGAATTACTGGAGATATTCGGCTCTTATCTACCTATTTTGTTGGGTCTTCCTTTTGTGGCTCAGTTTGGTCCAATAATTTTCCTAAATTTCAATCTTAATTGTTGTCTCTCTCTCTGAAACGTTTTCGATAAACCATTTCCCTTGATATTTTAGCTTCGATTCCTTTTCGGACAATCTCTCGATTCATTTAACTTTCACTATTTCGAGATGCTGAGAAAGAATTTGTTGTCCACTTACACTTCGGTCCCACTACTATGCACTGTCTTTGTTTATATTTTCATCGCTTTATTCCACTTTTTACTTACTTGCGAACGTGCATACTTCTTAGCTTTGAAGTCAACGCTTGTGACACAATTTGAACTAATCACAAGTTTTAAATAGGTGTATTCTCTTCATCGAAATAAACCGGTGCCGATTTGGTTCCTGGTTATCTATGCTCATAATCCGTCTCACCTCACAGACAGTGCACCTAGATCGTTAGTGAAGGCACCCACTGTTTTTTTCCCTTGTTTCAAGAGTGAATTTTCACCCCCCCCTCCAATCGACCTAACTCCTCCCATTGTTCGATGGTGAGTCTCTCCTTAGAATTTTCATTGGGGGCCAGCGGCTACGATCCACACGTATTCATACATGATCATTCATTTGATACAAATTTGTTGGCAAGTTCAAACTGCTGTCTAAGCATTACGGTATCACGTACTGCTTCGCTTACACCATCTTGTTTTTTCGGAGTTTACCAAACACGGACTCATATTCATGAGTGGGCGTGTGTTTGGATTGCCAAATGACCATTGTTCGCTTCAGAACGAATCACACTTCAAACTGAGATTATGTATCGCAGTGCAACCACGCGGCAAATACTCCAAGATGGTAACCACGTTGAGAAGTGCTACTCTTCGTGCATGGAGGTCTAGCGATTAATTTGTTGACTACCTTGCTTCTCTTTTCTACATTTGACTCTGAGAGCAGCAAGTCTGTTCGAACGCATTGGTGGATTTTGAAAGGCTCGCCTTGTGTTTTAATTATGACTTCGACTAAATTCGTGGTGAACATTGTCCAATCTTGAAATCACACATGACTCGGATGATCTGGTGCCGTTTATGGGGTGCTCAACAAACTCGCTCATCTTTCTGTCGATGATCTTTCAAACCAGCGTTGAATTCGTTCGATAGATCATCTTCATTATTTCTGCATAGCAGCAAAGCTATAGCAGTGCATTTGAGCCAGAGACCACATACTACGATGTTCCACACTTCGTGCGAGATTAGACTGTATTTTTGACAGTTGGTTATTACTTCCTGACAAACTTCCCCAATATGCCTTATCTGTTCTCGGTCCTCGTAGCTGGGTGAAACCGCTAAGTGACTGGTCGAAGACTTGACACAAGGCTACGAAGAAATCGACGGAAAGGCTTGATCAGGGGCCTCGGGATGATTCACATCGATTGACGCAGGTACACAATCAATGGCGCCTTTGTATTCGACTTTTTCCATTTAGGCGTTGATAATCCATCTCTATTACTCGTACTCACTATTTTCCTAACTGCTTTTCCCTTGTATTCAGTTTGCGTTTTACTTTTTTCACTATTGCTATTTGCTACTCTCTGGCGACGCGAGTCATGGCAGCTGCTGCATCCACTGCGCTTCGGTGCCCAAATCATTGCTTTTTAACTGAACTGAGCTGAATCCAACATGAATTAAGGTATGCCAGTCTCACCGCTATCGCAGTGCACAGGTCTATACCATTCCTTTCCAATAATGGTTTTTTATTGTGTCTTATTCATCTACACATTTTGGCAATCGTGCCAAAGGCTGTGCGCGTCGGATCAAACCTTCAGTTTGCATCCAATGTGTACCCAGTGATTCTTCCTGGGTTGTGAAGAGTCCACCATGCGGTGTAAGCCCTTTTTTCATAATCCTTCCGATGCACGTCGCCCACCGTCGGACCTTCTACCGAGAGTGTGTTCGAAGTACTCCGTCTCCAGTCTCCCTCGGTCGCATTCTTCACATCTCTACCGTTCGCTGCATTTGTTCTCTTATTCATACGTTTCCACTATGGAACTGTACCTTCGTCTATTCTGTCCTGTTTCTGCATATTCCTGCCTTCACAACCTCGCCTGTGGCCAACCACGGTTGTTTGTCACCGAAGAAGGCTGTGTCGTGAATCTCTGCGCGTGCTTGAGTTCCGAACAGTAAGCTGCTAGCATAGACGACTTGAAAGCGGCCGATCTGAACATCTTTCCATCGTCCATTGTATTTATTCTAATAGTCCTTGAAAGCTCAGACCCATCACTCCTCGACTACGCTACCTTCTACCCTATCTTCAGAACGTTTTCTTTTTGCCTTTCCCTTGGAATAGGACCAAGCTGTGGAACTGGCCGCACGCAAAGTGGCCGCGGTCTCGGGGGATGTCCGGCGAGCCCTGGACATTTGCCGCCGCGCTGCAGAGATGGTCTCTCATTGCAAGTCCACCCACCAGATTGGAATCGAACACATCAACGCGGCGCTGAAGGAAATGTTCAGCGCTCCAAAAGTCAACGCTATCCGTTCGTGTTCTGTGTACGAAAAACTGTTTCTGCGGGCTCTACTTGCTGAGCTTCAAGCACGGAACGCTGAGGAAGCTCGCTTAGACCGGTGCATTCTACAAATGTGCGCTCTCTGTCGTTTAGAAGGTAGGTTACAGATTCTGATTCCCACGCCCTATTTTTATTCTCCACAATGTTGTGACGCCTGTCTGTCGACGTGCACTTTCTTAAGGAAGATATTAGTAGCGATGAATTGTTCAGGCCAACCCGACGGAGGAGACGTTTCCTTGCAAATTCAACGTTTCATACTGGAACTATGCATGGGCACAGATATATCTTCTATCCATGTGTTCTTCTACTGATCACCTAAGGCCACCCTTGACCTGTTTTGTCCCAGCTTGTTATTACCACCGTTGGTAACTTCTTGGACTTCCATCGTCCTGTCCAAAGTTAGTGGCTGCGAAGCCAGTGGTGCCCCGCGATGCGGAACCTTTGATACATCTACTCACTTGGGATACTCTTGATTGTTTTACGGAGCAAATAGCTATATGACTTGAAATGGTTCGTGTGAAATAGTCTCCCATGCACGTAGCCTAAAGGTAACCTGCTTGTCTAGTAATCTGACGGCGCGAGTTTTAGCCTTCGTGGGCAGGGCGACGCTCCTAGTATTCTTAGCCCGTGTGCGACCGGTGGTGGTTGCGCAGCAGCGAAACGTCAGTACTACATACCGGCATGCTGCTGGCGCCTCTCTTTTCTTTTTTCTTATAACAGTTGATAGCTTGACGGTGGAAGACATCTCTGTGGGGGCCGTCCCTGTTATCTGCGTTCCAGTGACGTGCATAACAGTGGAGGATTATCTGCTGGTAGTCTATCTATTACAACTTCCACCTTTTGTAAGGTTGTTAGTGAATTCCACCTCCGTTGAAATCAGAGGGAGGTGCGCGCATGTATCAAGGTGCTGTAGGACGAAATGGTGGAATGAACACAGGCTGTCTGACTGAGTCTGTTTGCGAAAATTATCCCTGACAGTTGGCTGGATTGAATACCATTCGTCTAGACAACATGAAGTCAGAATCGATGAGAACATGCCTAACCACGAGATCATGTTCAATGGAACAATTCATTTTCCAAATTCTAATCTATTTTCAACTGAATAGCTTTTCATCTTGTGCGCTTTGACCACTCCCCGCTTCACATTCCATTGCCTAGGTCGGTGTTGATAAGTGGTCTGTACGACCCGAATCACTTTGGGTCGCGAAGAATTGTACCAAGCAAATCCAGGAATGGACCAAACTACAGCCAACTGCACTGATGATATCACCTCGATAGGTTGCGAAACTTTTGCAACAAAATTTCCATTTCGGTGAACAAATAAACAGCTGAATCGTAAACCCTAGCTACCGGTATTCCGAAACATTTTTGATCAAGACATCCTCCACCTCTGGCGTCTGGAGAGGTATGCTTTGTACCAATACCTGTAACTGACGGGTGTTGGAAGAAGGGAATAACCAACGTTCGTAGAAATAAAAAGCTATCCGGTGCACCTAAGAAGGCAGCTTCATTATAACGATATGATTACCACAGTCTGCGATCGAAAGCTTGCACAAATTAGAAGACAGGATGGAACCTGCAACACCAAAACTGCGGAAAATCGAAACAAGTGAGGATATGGTGATGGCAGCGGATCGAACATCCTAGTTGAGCCCACATGAAGCCAACAGCCTGAAAAATGATCGCTGTGGATACAAGTTGATGACGATTACACGAACTGGATGCATAGTGCATAATCGATTTGGACAGATAGCAGTTTAAGGGAGCAATTGCAAGAAGAAACGCGCCACATTGTGAGTGGTTCTAGTTTCTGCGAGACATAGAATGATCTTTCGTTGTGTGAACAACAAATTTTTATCGAGGATTAGACCTTAGTTTTTATTCTTGGAGGACTCTCACGCTACACTATGCTACACATGTTTCGCGCGGAGTGTCCTGTTTCTGTTGGTTGAGTGTATGCCCCACTGGATGCAGCGACCAAATTTACAAATTGGTCTAATGCGCTTACAGTATCAAGGCATCAGCAGTACGCCGGCATTCAGTAGCGACGCTTCTCTGCCGCGCAACCACTACCACGTGGGCTAAGGATATTGCGACGGTCGCCCGGTCCCTACGCAGGCTCGAACCCGCGCCCTCAGATTACAAGGCGAGCTTGTGATCTTTAAGGCTACGGGCCGACAGGCTTACAGTATTCACACTCACTAATCGGTGTCCGGTATAGTTTTGTCTATATTCAATGTTTTGAGGCTGTCTTCACAATCCAGTTGCATTCTAACATGACCTAGTTCTTTTACCCTGCTAGACTGAGCCTAGCTCCCTTGTCAACCTATCAGTGGTAGCATGTAGTCCAGCAGGAGCGGAGTTCCTAGTTTTCCATCACCTTGCCCTTGTCTTGTTCGGCTAAGTCGTGTTAAGGCTTTGGGGAGTGTTCATTGTGTATCAACCTAACAGTGTCACTATCTTCTTTCCGTGCTTCTGCAGAAAGCTCTACTTCCCTTGCTATTGGGGATGTTGTTTGGAGTTGTCCACTCACCCAAAACTACACTCCGTGGACGGTCTTGTCCTTGTTTGAACTATGTATCCGTTAGTGGAACCCCGGAGTAGACAGCTGATCACCAGGCCAATGAGCTCTGCCTACGGTCTCGGAAATGCATGTAGTAATCAAACCACGTACAGGGTATCTTGTAACCTATCTATCGTTTCCACTATTGTTTTACTAACTTCCGGTATAAGAAAAGTTGTCTCCTGTCTGATCACAAAACTCAGTCTGGATTTAGCGGTATCCTATGACCCTTACCTTGTATTGATTCGGTCTCGCTGCCAAGGATGAACGTTATTTCCTTTGATTTATCTCACGATCTGAATTGCACTAGCTTCTTCCGCATTCGCAGAACGAATGGTTTACTCCAGACTGCCGCCTGTGAATGGGGATACTGCTTCCTTTTGCCAATGAGCGAGCCGCGTCTCTTTCGGTCTTCGTGGAGACTGGTGTGTTTATTTCAACCGTTGTGTTCACACTTCCATTTTTGGTCACCGCGCGATTTTATCAACTCCAATTAATGTATTTATTTATTAGCAACACTTGTCCCAATACCCTTCAGACAGGCATATTTCACCCTCCCCTCCCCATTGTCTCCCACCCCCAATCCTTTCAGGTTACGCTTGTCCAACTACCACTGAGGTGTCCTACATTTGTGCCGGACTTGGTGCATACAAGCTGCTTCTCACTGAAAGCCCTCGACGCGACTCTTCCATGCTGATCCGACTGAATTGTAGCCGCTCTGATGTACTATTCGCCTTAAAGCCCCCCGTCGGGGCCTAACGATCAATGATTGTTTCTATTTTTACACGTGCCAGTGGACGCATTTTTACAATCTATGCTCTTTTTCTGCTTCGCACTGCCTTTTATGTCTATATATCGTTCTGTTTGTATCGACATTGTTTATGTGTCAAACCTTGACTTCAGTTTCTTACCTCTGTCCTGTTTATCACTGGACTCTGGCTTTCGCCTCCTAATTGCTTGTTCGTTTAATGCGGTTTCATTTTCCTTCGACCGTATGGCTCATCTGGAAACTAACAAGCTTGGATTCTCGATGTGAAACCAATTTCAATATGTGGTTTGTCGCAATCCCCTCTCAGTCAACCAGGGTCCCACACGTCTGGAAAAGAACCGGGCAGTCGTTTCGACCCACTGGATCTCGTCAGTGGTGCGCGTTCCTCGGAACGCTGCTGTGTTTCGACCTCATGACTTCCAGATGCCAGTAGCTTGTACAACTAACCCATCTGATGCTTTTCCGGACGTGTGGGACCCTGAGTAACTAAGAGAGGATTGCGACGTACCACGTCTACGATTACGCCCACATCCTCAATGCTCATTAGTAATCACAAATCCATCCGTATGGCTTCTTAGTGCTGTGTCCTACACAGTCGCTATGCGGAAAGTCGTCGCTCTGAGGCTAATCACTCTCCTCTGAACAGTCCATACCTGGCATGCCAGTGGAGAATGAGCCGCGCTGCATCGTATTCAACTATCAATCATGCAAGTCGGCCCTCGTCACCCATGGCTTACTTGCACAAACTACTAGCATCCGGAAGTCATGAGGTCGAAACCTAGCAAGGTTCTGAGGAACGCGCACCACTGACGAGACTTGGAAGGTTGAACCGGCCGTCTGGTGCTTTTCCCGACGTCTGGGACCCTGAACGACAGGGAGAACTGCGTCGAACCACATCTGCAATCACGTCCAAATCCCCACTACTAATTACTGAAGCCGATGTCTGCCTATCTTTATCGCCTATGCAAACGGTTTATACCATCATGTCTGTTCATCCTAAACGCGGCCAGTGAAGAAGGCTGCTAATGCCTCTCCTATAACATTAGCGCAGGCTATTCGCGCTCATTGGCGTCTATGTTTCAATCTGGGCCCATAACGGGTTTCGACGAACCAGGGCCTACATGCTAACCGGCACTTGCCCATGTACCGACACCGAAACCATTATCTTTTCTAGCTTCAATAAACTAGTTGACTCCATTGTGTGTACTGAATGGTCGTAGAGCGCAGCCCATCTGCTCGCTTTACTTTCACTCCCAAAGCCGATCCCGTTTCTTTTGTCCTCTTTCGCCTCACATGATCTTTCTGGTTCAGTGGACTCGTGGCAATGCGAACGTGTATTCTGTTATGCGTATCACATGACCAACTTACTAACCCACCATTGCAGCCCGAAACACAGTGACAACGGAGTTCTTGATATCCTCACACCACACCACTGTTGACGTCAGTCTAATGTTAAAGGACAGTATTCAGTACTCATCGATTCCCTTTATCTATACTCTTTTAAGGACTCAACCTTTTTGGCTTTGTATGGATTAAACGTACTGCTGCCTACTACAATTGCACTCCACAGTCCATGTCGTCCTCGTTCGGACTCTCCAAATAAAGATAGCTGGAGTTGTGTGGATCAAGCTCGGGAATTTGTAGTTTTTCAATAGGCGCCTTATCACTAAGACACTGAGCTCGGCCAGTAGCGCTTGGTACGACGGTTAGGACTTCATATTTGAACTGTAGAGTGATTTCTATTTTTTATTACGTCACACAATCCTAGTTTGCATTGCAGAGTGCTTCCGTCTAAACCTCGACCAATTCAATCAATGGGAGCTCAGGGGCCCAATGACAAGCTTTACGCCGAAAATCCAAGCCCCATCCCACGAATCCATTTAACATTTCCCTTATGTACATTCCAATATGACGGCATAGTAATACCTCGTTTTTTTTTGTGCTAGCTTCCACTTATCCTTGTTATTGGTTTAATGGCATACTTACCACACCTGACACATGTATCGGCTGGTTGCTGCTGCTAACTATGCCTTAATACCAGTGTACCGCAAGCCCATTTTAACTCCTTCAAGTACATGTTGGAACCATTTATGACTATCAGTGTCAGTTTGTGCACTGTTATTTTTACGGCGTCATGAAACTGCGGCCTGTACGTTTGGACACCCTCTAACCGACAGTACTTAGTCGCGTACTTTAGTGATCCTTACTTGCCTAAATGCATCGCACTGTTCGTGTGTATATTATTCTAACGATGCTTTTATTCTATGACGGAAACAGTTCTTGTTTCAGCGAAGCTGACGAATCCATATCCGTACATACATACCTACATTCTTGCGTCTTATCTGAAAATAATGACTCCAACGCTTTGCTTGACTTTACCAACAATAGCAGCAGTACATCAGCCATTTGAACTGATGCTTCGCTGTAAGTAGTAGGGGGATTTATTAGGTTTTTGTGTAGATTCGTCGCAGTTAGACACAGACAGACAGCCACCACACATCCAGGAAAGCGCTAGACGGCCGTTTCGTCCTATTGGGACTCGTCAGTAGCGCGCACCCGCCGAATCCTGCCGGATTCGAACCCACGACCTTACTCTTGCGAGTCAGCGACTTATGCCACTGCGCCATGGGCGCCGGCAGCGGACCGCCATGACTGCTATCTAACCGATATAGCGCGGCTCATCCTCCACTGTCTTGCATGTGCAGAGGACAAATAATCAGTAGTCGCCTTAGCAGTATACTTGCCACCTCGATTGGTGGCGGCTTGCAAAGGAAGTCGTTGCTCTGGGGGTCAGCCCTGTCCTCTGCACATGCAAGACAGTGGAGGATGAGCCGCGCTATATCGCAGTTAGATAGCAGTCATGGCGGTCCGCTGCCGTCGCCCATGGCTCAGTGGCATAAGTCGCTGACTCGCAAGAGTAAGGTCGTGGGTTCGAATCTGGCAGGATTCGGCGGGTGCGCGCTACTGACGAGTCCCAATAGGACGAAACGGCCGTCTAGCGCTTTCCTGGATGTGTGGTGGCTGTCTGTCTGTGTCTAACTGCGATGATACTTCGCTGCCATACAAGTCAGTAAAGTCAGGTTAAAGTAGGCTTTATTCACCCAGGTAAGTGCATTTTCAGCATGTGACACTATCACTGCGGATAGTGATGTGTACGAAATTACTGTTACAGGGAAAAATAAAACGCGTAACACCAGCAACACTTCTCACTCGACCAAATAATTTCACATCATATTGATAGTTTTGGTTGGGAGAGAGAAGGGGGACTTACCGGAAAACCGTAATGTCCTAAACAAACATTCGGGGCCAAGGGGCCTGCACCTTGTGTTAAACAATGTACCGTCACAAACAGCTGGATACGGTGCAAAGATTAGGCTGCGTCAGCGAAACAGCTTCCTTCTGGCTTTCATTGTCCTGCGTCATAATCAGCCATTATCCCGCAGATAACTCAGCACCAAACACACTTTAAACAGGCAGTCCGACTAGGATACGGTAACAGGCGAGTCATGTCCTCTAAAGTCTCGAGCCAAGCACAAGGCGGGTCACGTGGACTCCAGTCTGGAAGGCGAGACGGACCGACGGCACCCAGTTTGGTCGTCATTGACTTCATTTCACGCTGCCAAGTCAACTTTTGTCCACCTCGAGCCTTGCGCCACCCTACATCTGGCAGACTAAACAAGGCCCTCCTAGGTAAGCGGTGACCAGGCATACGTAATAGGTGCCAAGCCAACGCCACTTCTTCAGTGCTATCTGTCGTTCTAAGAAAGTAGCTTGATTATCACTGCCCAGTACACGCTTATCGCACATCGTCGTTGCGGACACGCTGGTGCCACCCGACACCAGCAATGCTTCGCAGACCGATGGTCAAAGACTTGAAGGAGTCCCGGGTCCTCCGATCGGAATGCATCGATCTGCTGAATCGAACCCACTCTTGAAGTCAATGAACACAGCTATTGTCGGTCTGCGGTATGCGTGGCGCTGCTCTAGCACCTGTCGCAGTGAATATCTAGTCTATACAGCTACATCCTAGGCGGAAATCTGTCTGCACTTCCCTAATCCGTGATTCCCAGACCGTAGTGAGACAATGAACAAGCATCGAGGCTAGTAAGTTTGTCCCAACTGACAGGCTAATACCTCTATGGTTAGCACAGTCAGCGCACAGCCCTCCTTGTATATTGCAACTATACTCGATTCACTCCAATTAGTCGGGACATTCTCTTGCATCCAGATATGTTCGAATAGGAAGGTCAGTGCTTTGCAAATGACCTCACCTCCATCCTTAAATAGTGCAAGTGGGAGGGTATCCGGGCCAGCAGCACGAAAACGACTTAAGGGTGTGATCACGTTTCGGACCTCAGCCTCCCATGGGGCCTCTAAACTAAATGTCCATGGCTCGTCCTGCATCACCTTGGTAGGAAAAGGTCCGGACGCAGGGGGGCTAACTGAATTAGTCTTGAAAGTGTTCTGCCCAGCGAGCCATGCGGCGCATTTTATTGTGTATCAGTGCACCCGCGCTATCTCTGATTATCTCACTGACGCCTGGTTTCCTATGACCGGTGGTGCAGATCAACTGGAAGAGTTTGCGGTAATTGCCTACTGCTCCTGCCTCCTCCATTTCTTGAGCCCTACTGGTCCACCAGGCTTCCTTGTCAGCACGCAGCCTCCGCTTTAGTTTGCGCCTAATAGTCCATCTGGTTACATTGTGCTCAGAGCCAGCCTGGAGGTTTCTTCTGGATTCTAACAGGTTCATCGACCTCTCGGATATCCAGTGACTGGTGCGGTGAGGACTGATATTGCCACAAGCAGATGCGCCTGCTTCGTACACGGCGGCGGAGATCTTATTCCACTGAAGCTCAGTGTTAGTAGGACAAGACAGCGAAAGTTCGGTTCGTTGTGCGTCTTAATAGGCTTGCCTGACCGAAAGCTGAGACAATTTCTCATTTGCCAATCGGAGAAAATGCTTGGTGCGCTTCCCGATAAAGTTCATGGCGAAACAATAGCGTACCAAGGCGTGATCAGAGTCGACGCAGGTATTCCAGAACGAACGGCAATCTAGGATGGAACCACGCCAACTGCAACTTATGACAATATGATTTAATTGGGTCCATCGCTGGCCAACTACAGGAGGACGCAAAGTGGCACTTCGGCGCCCATTATGTCTAAAAGCGGTGCTACTGAGAAACATCTAGTGCTCCGCACGCAGCTGCAGCAGACGCTCACCGTTGTCAGCCGGTTCTG